AAACGAAAACGAATTCTACCTCGGCATTTCCGATTAACTGCTGAATTTCGTTACTTCTCGAAAATGTTCGTTCGAGTTCCAATCAAACAATTTGATGTATTTCGCTCAAAATATCGAATTTCATCCTAAACGTATAACTGGTATTTGACAAGATTTTGATCGAACCCAATCTCGTTCGGTTACTTTCACTGATTCCTCGGTAATTCATAAGATTCACAGTATTTCTTCACGAACAATCGAAAGGTACAATAATCACTCATCAATAAAAAGCAATAATTACAGCAAACATCCATATACCAGTCTTGCTCATGACACGTAACACCACGAATATATGACAATTAAAAAAAAAGTCGAACATTTTTGCAGAATGCAAAAAGTTCAAGAATTCAGAAGGGAAAATTTCGAATGAATAAATTATCCATGTGAAGTCAATGACTTTCTTAATCACAAACAATGCATCTTCTCAAAACTGAGAATTGACTCAAATTTCCTACCGGTGATTTGTAGTCAGCGATCTGTTGCAAAGCCACTGATGTGGTCTGTGATCGACGAGTGGTGCTCGGAATGCTGGGCACTCGGAATGGCGAAGACTTATCTTCTTTTGCCACATTCACCTACAATTCACTAATCTGTTTAGATTTTCGTTCATCATTCGTTCAGAAACTGTTCGTCGTTTCTGGTAAATTAATTTCATTTGCATGTGCTGTGAACCAATACATAGCGACAGTGAATTGTGAATCAAGATGTGATTTGATACGTCTAAAGTTGAGAAGAGAAACTAATAAGTCGAGGAAGTAAAAGCTCATAAGTGGCCAACGAATGTGGTGGCATTGCAGGATCAGACTTTAAAAAAAAAAGACAAATTAAAAAACGTACAACTGGTGAATGGAGGATGCGTGTGCCAGGCCCAATACGCACCATGCGGGAACCACTCACAGGGGTTGACGGCGCACTCTTCTGCTGTTTTGTTCTTCAATTACATCGCATTAGGTTCAAAAATGATAAATTTTCAAACGTTACTCGCAAATGCGATTTTGATAATAAACAAAAACAAGTCATGACGATCGGTAACAGCGCACATAAAGATAAGAAACTATTTGATCATTTTACGTGTTTTAGAAATTTTATTGATTTAGATCAGAAATCAAACGAAAACACTAGGTTGAATCGGTAATGATCAGTTCGTGAAGGCATCAACTCTGGCTCTCCTGAGCGCCCAATCAAATGAAAAATTATTAAGCAATATAACTTATTCGAGAATACAATAAACACCTTGCTGGTGAGAGCGATCTCGCCTGATGTGCAGCGAATCGAGGACAGACGTGTGGTTGATCTTCCGAATACGGTGTACTCGTAACACGTTTTTCGAAAACAGCATCTTTCTGCAAAAACATTTCTTCCAATGTGAAGTTGATACAATTTAAATGAACATCCCAGTGAATGTTAAATGAAACAATGACCAAAACCAATTTAAGAGCAATGTCTTTCAACCTGAGCTGTCGTTGCTGTTGCCACATGATGCGAATGCCGTCTGATGTCAACTTTACTTTTTCCTGCGTTAGTTTTCTTCGGTGTTTTGAAAGAGAACAACGTTCGATTACTCTTCGGCGCTTTTGCATGACCACCATAAGAAGCGTCAAGGAAATTCAACATTTCTTCACGCATCGAACGTGTAGCCACAAGAGTACTCTTGAAAAAAGTATTGCATCAATTATAGATTTGCATTTATTTGACAAAACGATGTCCATTTTAGTGTTGCTTGAGAGGATGAGAACGCGATGAGATTTGTGAATATTACCCTGCATTTTTCTCACTTAATAAAACACTCAGACTAACTGAAACAAATGTGTCTTCAACAGTTCCTCAACAAATCAATGCTGTTTCAATAATTTCTCAGTGATCAGAAACTCACCTCGTTGTGGGTATCTCCTTCATTGGTGATTTTTTCGATTGATGACTCATTGAAGGTTCCCTTCAACACAGCAGGCACGCCAGTGTGTGGTACATCCAGAGACAGACTCTTAAAATTTATTGATCAGTATTCCGAATTAAAATATTCAACCGAAAATATTACGAAGAGAAACGAATTATGATGAGCACATTCAGATTTACTTGTTGAACCGAGGTGCAAATTTCCAGCTCAATTTTATACCTCAACAACCATCGCAAATAGAAACGTTGAAATAAAACAATGATCTTATCAAGAAACATTTTCACACAAATTCTCGATTATCTCCTCCAACAAACACGAATAAAACAAAATTATAAAAAGAAAGTTTTGCTTGAAACCGAGTGGTGCACCAATATCATTAAAATTATAAAAAGTAACATTTTCAGAAATCGTTTTTGTTTTATCGGCTGCATTCTCGATGAGAGTTGTTTCATCATCCCAACGACTTTTCGGTGATTTCTCAAGCGCCGAATTATCGACAACAGCTTTGTTGATGACGGTAACCTCCTGCAAAGGCGATCAATCAAAGGATAATTAATGAATTACGCTCATAAATCAAATACGAATCGCCAGTCTCGGCACAAACCTACGAATCCAAGTTTTTCTCAGATCTATCATAAACTCGATAAGATTTTCTCAATAACGGTCTGTTCTCAAGCATCTTCCTCTAATACGGAACACATATTCGGGATCACTCTCGCAATCTGAGAAAGAGTTTTTCATCGAGTTTTTTTCAGGAATTCTCATACATTCTCTGCCAAATTCAACTCATAAATATAAAATTTGGATAATTTCTGGAGAAGTGAAAGGTTTCAGTGAATTCCGTGATATGAGTGGACTGCCAAAATGAATAAGTAAAATCATATCGAACCTGAGTACCAGCTGTATCATTGCCGGTTTGAGAAGATGAATGCGATATTTCCTTAAATGAATAATTCTATTAGAACAATAATTTTACAACCCACTAATGACTATGATAACAACACGTGAAAGGCACCAATACTTTATGAGTGACTACGATAAGGAGATGGGATCAAAGGTATTCCGTCAGCACTCAAAATAAAATCTGATAGGAAAAGGGTTCTCTCAACCAAACAAGACTGGGATACCTCATTTTCTACTGCATTCTTCACTGAGACCGGTTGTGCTGATGACGACGATGTCAATTTTTCAGGGCTTTGATGAATCTCTGTGGGCATTTTTGTCGCTACCGAGGCACTGCTCAAGCCCATCAGAGCTCTGGCGGCCATCTCTTCCTCGTGAGTTGTTGCTGTCGTTGTTTCGGCCATTACATATGTTTCACCAACATTGGCGTATACATCATTCTGAAAATCAATCAGTCAATCGCAGAAGATGCCTTGGTAACGACAGCATCTGCAACTGGAACATCATTCTTCATTACTGTTAACGATTAATGCTGGATGACAAAGTCTAGTTTTGAGAATTCCACCGTCTTCTTGTATCACATCCTCGATTTACAATCAAAAGCAATTCCCGCTGAATCTACCATTGGTCTCGTGATAGCGCTATCCATCGAATGACGAACACTTCGAACAGTTGCTGTTTTCGAATTCCCAACGTCTTCGACTATCGTCTCATCATCATTGTTGTCAATCCTTTGTCCACATGCATAAGACTTTCTCGATGCTACTGAATTAGTCCACTTCCGTGCTACACCATACGGTTGTGGCACTTTCGTGGTGCCAACTCCGAGCACCAAATCAGTCAGCCATTCACC